TGCTCCGGGCGAGCGCGGCGGCGGCGCGGCTCGAAAATGGCGGCCGGGCTCCTTCCCTGCCCTCCCCCTCCCGTCAGCCGGAGAATGCACCGGGGGGAAGGAGGAGGAGGACGGCGAGGAGGCGGGGGGGCGGGGGGCGCCGCCGCAGCGCCCCCGGCGGCCGCGCCGCGCAGCGCAACCCGCGCCCGCCCGCAGCCGGGGGGCCCCGCCGAGCGCCCGCCGCGGCCGCGCGGAGGAGCTGCAGTGCGGGAGGGGAGGGGAAGGGGAGGGGAGAGGAAGGGAGGGGAGGGGCGGGCACCGGCACCGCCGCCGCCGCCGGGGAGAGAGGGCGGGGAAGGGGAGGGAGGGGCGGACCCGCCGCCTTTTGTCCGCCCGCCGCGGCCCCGCCGCTGCCGGACACCGCCAGGGGGAGCCCGCGGCGGCGCGCGGGGCACGCCGGGAGTTGGAGTCCGCCCGCCCCCGCGGCCGGGGACACACAGGACACGCAACGCCGCTGGTTTAACGCTGCTTTAACCGTTTCCTGCCCAAAATCCACGGTTCTGCCGCTCTGCCACTGCGAGCGAGCTCCCGGGAAAAATCAAACAAACAGCCTTCGCCGGTTAAGCGTTTTCCCGCAAAACTGCACGTCACGCTCTCCCGCGCCCAGTGCAGCCCCAGGAGCTCGCTGCCGGCCCGGCCCGCACTGCTCCTGCCACGGTCCCCGGCGGTATTGCCAGGAAACCTGCCCAAAGAAAATCTGGCCAGGAAATCTGCCGAAGCAGCCCCCTGTGCCCCAGCCGGGCTCCGGGTAGGGTCTGGGGCCGCGGCACGCAGCGCTGGCAGCCCGGCCACCGATGCTCCTGCTGCCCCGGTCCTGCCCTTCACAGCTCCATCACACAGCACACACCAAGAGCAAGACAGAATTCCTTTGGGACCGCACAAACCATTTCCCCTCTGTGACCTTCAGCCTGGCCCCTGGCAGGCGGTGACACCGACTGTGCCCAGCACAGAGCCTGGCACGCTCAGGGTGCCACAAACCCCCTGCAATTCCTGCCAGGCAAAGGCTCTTCCTTCCCTGCTCTGGCTCTGCTGCCTCTACAGCAGGAACGCAGCTCTGCCAAGGAAAAAGTGCTTTATGCCATGGTTTGTCTGCAAAGAGAAAGAGCCACAGCAGTGCCAGCTGTGCTCACTGCCACCGAGAGATGCACTGAGTGAAAACAAAACCTGTCCTGCTCGGCTGCAGAGCTAGGTAAGCAGGAACCCTCCTTCCAGTACGTGCTGTCCTGGCCTGCGCTATGCAGCACACACACACAAGTTTATTTCCTCCTCGTGATTCAAGCCCCAGCACCACACAGGGCGGTTCAATACCACAGAAGCAATTGCAGAATACCCTGAGCTGGGAGGGATCAGAACTCCTGCACAGGAATCCCACCACGTGCTTGAGCAACTTCCTCTAAAAACCATCTGGAGATACAGAGTCAAGGCACTACTGTTACTCTTTAAAATCCAATATATTGCTCAACAAACCACATCACGGCACTCTCATTACAACTGGGTTTTCTGGGCCAGGAAATTCACATTTCATCATTTTTCTAAGGGTGTGTGCGACCCTCTGGGCTTGCAGCCAGAGACACCCAGAGGTCTCTGTGACCACACAAATGCTCAAAACACAGCTTTACCTAAGTGTTTTTCCAAGAAAAATATTCAGTTAAGGACAGCAGTGAGACTAATGCTGGTTTTATGCCTAGCAGGGAGCTGCAGACAACCAGCCCCACTCCTGGGCTGTCCCTTGCAGTCCCAGCTGTCCCCTCAGTGATGGCCATTCCCCATCCCCACATCCCTGCTGCACACTCTCTCCTCATCTCGTCTCACTTGGAGAGAGCTTTAGGAACCCAGGACCCTACAATGGCATGCAAACCTCTGGTATTATTGGTGTTTTAATCTACCTTGAATTAGAGTTCAGCTAAAAAGCAGAAGCAGGTACAAATGTGGTTTTATACTGGCACAGAAGAGTGAGGACAATCTGTTGTGAAAGAAATTAAAAGAAATTCCTGTGCAATAAAGCTTCTGATCAGGATTTTCTGCCGAGGCACAAACCAAGAGCCCAGATTCCAGCTTGGCATTCCAGTGCAGGTCTGGATCTTCCTGCAACACAGACACAGCTGCAGCTTCCATGGTCCAGCCTGATCTGGAGATGAGTAGCAAAAATTGCTGTGCAGTGTAAGATTACAAAGTTTTGGCCTCTGACACATACCTTCTATGGCCCTGCCAGTCTCAGCTTCCCACTCAAAACTGTGCCACAACTGGTAACTCCTGGGCCAGCCACCAACCTGTCCCTCACACTGGATGTTCCTGACCTGGAGATGCCCCCCAGGAACAAGAGCAGCTGTCCCCATTGAAACCCCATTTTTACAGCATCATCCTTTGAATTGTCCTAGTCTGCCAAGTATCCAGAACACTCAAACCACAATAGCTGGTGAGGGCTGTGTACCCAGCTACTCACACCTTATTGTTACCTCATCTTTCCACCTATTAATCCTCATTATTTGCTCTGATTGGATCATCCTCAAAAATTGAACAGTCTCTATACACCAAGTGCATGCATATCTGTACATAAAATAACTCTTAAGTGTTATTATTAATGACTTTTGAGCCTAAAACCATGCTATTTCAGTTTGGGAAACATCCTGTATGTGGGAAAGGTGGATGGCCACTATAAAACACATATTTCCTATGAAATAAAAAAACACATATTTCCTATGAAAAATGTGGCATGGGAGAATCAGAGCCCAAGCAACCCCAGGGAAATGGCAATGGGAAGGAGAGACCCTGCTCTGTGAGCATGGCACAGCCAGAGCTGGAGCAGCATGTTCCCCTGGAAGGAGCAGGGAGCTCTCTCTGCTCCTCTGCTCCCACAAACCTCCTTCCTCTGAGGTGCTCTGGGTCACGAGCTCCACAGAACCCAAGGGCTGTAACTGAGCTGGTCTCTTCTGTGCCAATAAAACACTGCAAAACTGTGACACCACCAGCTGCCAGGAGCTTGAGCTCCTGGGGGGGACGGGGAGAACAGCCCTCAGACAGGTCCTGGCAGAGCTGTGCAGCAATTCAAGCTGTGACACGCTCAACACACTCCAAAAATCAAGGTCCAGCAAGACCCTCCCTTCCAGAAGCAAACGCCCCTCAGCAGAGCTGCCGGGGGATGCAGCGGGCGGACACACCGACGACTGGACACACCGACAGATGGACACACCGACAGCTGGACACCCCGATGGCCACACAGCCTGACAGCCGGATGCACTGATGGCCAGACAGCTCGACAGCCAGACAGCCCACTTGGAATGCTGTGATAGATTTACAGGACACACCGGACACGCCGATGGCCGGACAGCCTGACAGGGCTGGACAGCCCGAAAGCCACACAGGGCCATACAGGGCCAGATATCCTGATGGCCGGACAGCCTGACAGGGCTGGACACCTCACAGCCAGACAGCCCAACAGGGATGGACAACCTAAGGGCCGGACAGCCTGATGGCTGGACACACAGACAGCCGGACAGCCCGAGTGCCCCAGCAGCACACCAGGCACTGCTCCTTCCCTCAGCTCCTGCCAGCTCACAGCAGGCACAAAGGACCCAGAGGCCTTCCCTGCCCTCCCAAACCAGCCCCATCTCCCCATCCCACAGGGCCTGCAGCCCTCTGAAACCTCACTGGGTTTTCTCCTCCACCGTTTTCCCAGACTGCAGCATGAGACTAAGGAGCTGGCATTGAGGACGGGGACAAATGGGACACTCACAGGGCTGACAACACCCCAGTGCCCGTGTAGATGAGGCTCCACACAGCCACACGTCAAACCCCAACACATCAGCACGTGGCACTTTGGAAATTAAGAATACGCTTCAGAGAAGTTATCTCCTAATTCCCACCAGTGTCAGCAGGAGCTGCAGCAACACAGATTTCCAAGGTATTTCACGATAGCCTCCAAAACCACAACAGGGAGATTTAATTCCATTTTTAAAGCCCACAAAACAACTCACTGTTATTCTGTGTACAAAGAGCAAGAGCTTTGCTGCTGTGTTGGCCAACTGGAGATCAGATACCACAGCAGATTTGTGTAAGGTCAGTGTGAACGGATTGAGATAAGATTTTTGGTTTTCCCATTACAAGAGAATTTGTCTAAATTCAGCCTCAATAATTGGCCTAAAGTCAGGCTGCTTTGGCTTGTAGATTTATGAAAAGAGGGAAATATCCTTCCCTTCAGCACTTCTCTTCAGGTTTTATTCAGATGCACAGAACTTGATTCCTGTACCTGAGTGTTTAGGACACACTTTTAATGTGCAATAACATCAGCAAGGCAAGAGGTCACTTTTCTAAAGAAACACCAGCAAAGCCCTGCCAAGCTCAACTCCAGACCCAGGAGCACCACGGCTGCCTCACACACAGGGAAACCAGAAATGTGAGCAGGAAACTCCAGCTTCAGACCTTTGGTTTTCACAGGACAAAGCCAAGACCCTTTGATAGGTGTACACAAAACTGTTTTGATACTATAAATATATATACAAACCAGATCAAATCAGCAAAGTTAAAAGGATCTTATAGTGTAAACTTGGGGTTTAAGGATGAACACAATAGAGGGAAAAAAAAGAGCAGGAAATCTTTCTTTTTTTGGGCAAGTCGTGCCTTGATGTCTCGATGCTGCTGCACACAAGGACAGGTAACACCTGTAAATACACACACATGCTCCCAAGAGGAGCCTCCACATCTCTTCACTACAAGCACTGGAATGGCTTTGGAGAGAGAAACACCCTGTACACACACAGGATGAATCTACACTTCCAGCCATAACACCAAACCTCCATTTTAAACTTCTGCATCAGCCAAGAAACTACGTGCAGGGCTCCAGCGTCATCCGGCACGGTCGGGAGCCAGCCCAGCACCTGCCGAGGCACCTGAGCACCCCCGGGCGGGCCGGGCCGGCCCGGGGAGCCCCGAGCAGCGCGGGCAGCGGGGCACACGGCACGTACCTTGCTGGGCATCCTGGCCAGGCCCATCCTCACACCTGCGCTCCAGGTGGGCAGCACGGGGACGGCCTCCGGATCCTCGCAGCCTCCGCAGACGCGATGTAAGTTTCTTATTTATTGACTCGAGGAGGTGGGAAAGTGCAGGAGCTGGGGACAGAAAGGGCTGTCACAAGGGGGCCCCGCCGCCCCCTCCCACCGTTACCTCCATCCCGCCCCGGGCCGGCCGGCGGGGCCGGGCCCGGCGGCGCTCGCAGCGCGGCCCGGGGCGCGGGGGCCGGGGCTGCCGCCACCCCCGATCCTTCTCGAAGCCCCCCGGGCCCGGCCTCGCTTCCTCGGGCTAAAATGGAGGCGCGGGGCGGGCGGGGGGGTCCCCGCTCCGCACGGAGCCGGCCGGGCCCGGCCCCCCGGGGCAGCGCGGCGGGGCGGAGCTCTCCCGGCGCCCCGGGCCCGGCGCCCGCCGCGACCCTGCCCGCGACCCCCAACTCCCGGGCGGGAGCGGCCGCCCGCCCCCTCCGGCCCCGCCGCGGCCCGGCCCCCGCGGCCAAGTTGCGGGACGGCGGGGCCGGGGCCCGGGGCCGGCGCTGCCCGCGGGGCGGGGACCGCGACCCCCGGGCCGAGCGCGGCCGCCCCCCCGAGCCCCCGGCCCGCTCCGCGCCCCCCGCCCGCTCCTACCTGCGCCGCTCCGCCGCCTTCAAGCGGGGACCTTCCGCCCTCCCCCGCGCCCATTGGCTGCGCGTGGGGCATGGGCGCGCCCCATTGGCTGCGGCCGCGTCAATCAGCGCGGGGGGCGGGGCGGGCGGTGATTGATGCCGTGCCGCCGCTCGGCCCCTGCCCCGCGCCCCCCCCCCCCCGCCCGCCGCCCCCCGCCCGGGACCCCCCCCCAAACCCCGGTACCGGCCCCGACAGGGGGGTCCCGGGCGCGCCCCCACCCCCCGGGGCAGCCGCGGGTCCGGCCGGGCCGCGAGAGCGGCGGGCGGGGGGCGAGGGGGCGGCCCCGGGTGCGGGGGTGGTGCGGGGCTGGGGGGTCACGGGGCGCCGGTGTCCCGCAGGTGGCACCGGGCCGGGAGCCGGGACACGCGTGGGGCGTCCCGCGGGCCGCAGGCCACTCGTGCTCCGTGCGGGGCGCGGGTCCCGCGGCGGGGAGGGACCTGCCGGGGGAGCGGGAGGTGCCGCGGGACACCGAGAGCACCGGAGCGGGGGACGAGGGCTGCGGGGACACCGGGGACACGGCTGGCAGCAGGCCCCGTCCCACAGGTGACACAGGGCCCGTGTCCCCTGCGTGCCTCTGGGCCTGTGTCCAGTGCCCACCCCGTGCCACCCTGCCATGGCAGGGACACTCCCACTGTCCCAGAGTGTCCCAGTGCCCAGCCTGGCCTTGGGCACTGCCAGGAATCCAAGGGCAGCCCCAGCTGCTCTGGGCACCCTGTGCCAGGGCCTTGCCAAAATCTGCGTACAGAATTTCCTCCTCACATCTATAATCTAATTTTCTCCCAGTTAAAGTGGTTCCCCCTCTTGTTCTGTCTGCGTGTGTAAAAAGTTACTCTCCCTCTTTTTTTCTCAGCCCCTTTCAGGACTGGAAGGAAGTTTGAGATGCTCCAAACACACTCTGAGAGGTGGCCATGCTGATCCCACACTGAGCAGCTGCACTCACTGTCCCCACAGACACTGGCCTTGCTCTCCTTCCCCAGGGAACATGAAACAACCAGATTGTTTTTCCTGGTTATCCAGAAAAATCCAGACTAAGACCTTATTCTGAAGTGACAAAGTTTAAAAGCACTGGGATCCCTGGCTTAGAAAAACCCAGTTCTGCTCCATTAAAAATAAAAAGCAGTTCATGCTCTAAAAGTCGCAGACTTGGACAGAGGGACAGAAAATGAGATGTTGCAGCCCCACAGTCAGTGGTGAACAACAGAACAAACCTTGGTAAGATGTAGGTGTTCCTAAACAGCTCCTGGTGCTCAGCACACAGCTGTGATTCAGCTCTAGAACGATGGAAAATCCAACTTCATCATTGCTTTGCCTTTCTCTGGAGGCCCCTAAAGCTCAGCCTGCCTGAGCAAAGCCTGGTCCAGCACCAGGCAGAGCCCATGGGGGAGGCTGTAGAGGGACAGCTCAGCTCTTACTGCACCCAGTGACCCCCAGACACAGGAACACATGTCCAGGAGCAACAGGAGCATGGGGGAAAATAGGGGGAAGCAGCTAGGAATGGGTTAATCTCAGTATTGCTTGTACAGCCAAACTCAGCTCTCAGAAATTACCAATTAGGGTGGGCAAAAATGAGTGGTAAAAGGTTCAATGCAGGATGCCTACATGCAGCAGGAGGGATTTCTGCACAGCCATGAGCCTTTCCTTCCTGGCAAGCTTTTCCTCCAGCTCTGGAAGTGTAAGAGACTGTGGGAATTAATTTCTCTGCTGAACAACAACAGCTGCAGCCACAGGGTGGGGACCTGCTATGGAAGGCAGAATAAAAAGAAAATAAAACTAACCTGCTCCATACCTGAGAGATTCTTGAAGATGGGAAGTGAGGATGAGCAGCAACAACATCTCTGGGCACCAGGAAGGATTCATCCCCAATATTCCATCCATCCCTGCCTTGGGCAGTGGATGGACACGTGGCAGGACACATTCCCTGTGTCCTGTGCCTCCATCCTTGTCTCCAGTCCCTCTGCAGCTCTCCTGGAGCCCCTTCAGGCCCTGGAAGGGCTCTGAGCTCTCCTTGGAGCTTCTCCTGTCCAGGTGAGCACCCCCAGCCAGGCTCCAGCCCTGGAGCCTCCTCTGGACTCATCCCAGCAGCTCCAGGTCCTCACACCAAGGTCACACCCTTGTCACACCTCCCACCTCCCCCAAAACTCCAGCCAGCACCTTGCAGCCCACCTGGAAGCTGTGACAGATGAGCCTCGGGTGGCACAGGACAGAAAAGAGCCCTGCACACCCCAAGGTGCCCTTAAACCTTTCCCAACCTCTCACTTGCCCAACTCCTGAAGGGCAAACCCCACCCCTGACCCAAAGCAGCTGGGGCTAAGCCTGCTTTTAAAAGTAATTTATTTGGATTTTCCACATCCTTTCATGAATTGCAAATATATTAACAGAAAAGAATTTTTCCCCTCTAGGACTGTACAATTTTTGAAATTAAAAAAAAAAAAATCAAGAAAAGCAAAAAAAAAATTAAGAAAAAAAGGACAAATTACATTGTTTCAATGCAAATAGTAACACCACACCCACACTTTGCATTCTTCCATAGTTTTGTTGTAAGAAAATGACAGTTCCCTAATTCTCTTCAGTGAACCCTTGCTCACCTCCCTGCCAGTGTCTCCATGCTCAGCCTCTTCCTCTCTGTCCCTCTTCAAAGAGCCAACTTTTAGTCCTTCAATACTAATTTTGTGTTTTTCCTTAGAATGTAAAATAGCAGCAAGGGCTAAATGTGAGCCTGGATCATTGGGAAAAAAGAAAATACCTTCAAGGTAGGATGACCATACAAAGCCAGGAATGTTTTTATGTATTAAATCTTCCAAGTAGCACAAACATCCTTTGAACATCCCAGCTCAATGAAGAGCTTTTTCCAAGGGGTTGAAAGTTTTACTGTAGTTTTCAGGGAACAAATAAAAAAGGAAAAAAGGCCCCACAATTCCTGGATCTCAGGTCCCCACATGAACAACATTTATTATGGAAAAAGCAAATAGCACCTGCTTCCTCCTGCTTTTTGTTTAGAAAATATGCTGGGAACCAAAAGGAAGCCAATTAACACGGTAATTAGTGGCATTCCACAAGTGCTGCCTGCAGACCTTACCAGGAAGTGCTGCTCAGACTCCTCTGCTCAGGGATGTGCTGGGAAGCTGCCACGAGCTGGAAAACCACAGCAGGAGATCCAGGAGCCCCAGGAGCAGCTCCAGGGAACGCTGAGCCCTCCAGGAGGGGGAATCATCACCCAGAGCAGCCTCAGGAATGAATCCCTGAGAGAGCCTCACTCCAGCCCAGATCAATCCCCACTCAATCCCAGACCCAGGTGATCCAAGTGCAGGGCACCCAGCTCTTTTTACCCCTTCTCATTCCTCAGATTTTAGAGGGATTTTTCACCCTCTGAGGGGAACTGAAGCCTATTTTTCACTGCCCATCTTCCTACTTCAAAAAAAACCCCACCACACCACAGAATTCTATTTTTGCTTAGAACCTGGGGAGGATTTTTCAAAGGATAAAGGTGTGCATGTGGCTCTTGACCAGAGAGAAGCTGGGACAGAAGAGGTGCCAAGTGGATAAGGACAGAATTCAAAAGAAATTGAAGTGTGAAGGAAACTAAGAGACACCTAAAAACCAATAGATTAAGAAAAAAAAAAAAAAAATTAAGACTGATCACAACAAATACGGTGCTATGAAATTTGTATCATTCCCAATTTATTAGGCATAAATTGCTCTTTAAAACTGCTTGTATCATACACTTTCTTTATCATCACTGCACAAAGGGCACCAATTGCTGCTGCAGAATGCTACAGAGAGCAGTTTGGACTCACTAACGTGGCACAGCTTTCTCCTCTCAGAAACAGACCCTCGAGGAAAGGAAAGTGTTCCTAGAATGGGAAACTGAAAGAACAGCTTAAAAAAATAAGGAAAAAGACAAATAATTGCACATTTTTGCATCCTGCTTGGACCACACTTTACAAAATAGTTTTCAAAGTGATAGCAGACCTAAGGAGATACTGATCTGAGACAATTATTTGATGCATTTGACCAAGGTTCTGATTGTATTAAGGCTTCCAGTCTTCCCACTCTCACAGGATTAAGGGTTTGATGTTTCACATTACACTTGTATCTACATTTCTCTCTTGATTTTTCCCTTTATTAATTTTTATTCTTCAAAAGGGGAAGAACAAGTCAAGGGGTGCATGAAAAATGAAGCAAGGTGGTGCGGACAGAAATACAAAGTAAACACTGACCTTTCCAAAACCGGGTGAATAAATTAACTCATGGTTAGAACATGAAAGCATTTGATGAAAGCTCTGATCCTGCAATGTGATTCTCCTGCAGTTGCACCCTGGGCAGGGACAGGGCTGTTTCACGTGGCCTGACACATGCCCAGTCCTGCTTGCTCACTGGAGACACTGCAGCTTTAAGGTCATTGACACTCCCTGGCATTTAAGTTACACTACAATATGCAAAAGTCTTGAACAGCCTGTTTGTCAACACTGTCCTTGGAGAACTTGGAAATGAGGTTCAGCACTCTGCTTACCAAGAAAGACCCAAACTAAGACACATTTCTGGAAAAAGAACAAGACACCTCGTCATTAGTACTATCCCCACATCTACTGGCTTCCATACATCAAAGCACAAGTCTGTCTTCCATGATATTTTTTTCCAGCAAGGGGGGAGTTCAAAACCAGCATTTTCTCCTCAGTCACTGCCATAAATGTGTAAGAGCCAACTAGTCAGACTCAGCAGCAGCTGGATATTGCACTGCCATGAACTCTGCTAAGTTCAGGTCTGAGGTGCACTCGTGGTGTCAGTGGAGAACAACGACAGTGCTGGCTCAGAGATGTAGAACCCAGGATGCCAAGGAAGGGGAGAACACGACAGTACCAGTCACACACACTCAAGCTCAGACACTGGCTCTTGGAGGTTAAAATTCATCACTTTCCACGGCGTGGAGCTGCGTGTCATCCGCGTCCGTCATGCTGCTCTCCTGGGACTCGTCTGTGCCCACTGTGGGGACAAAGAGA